AACCCCTAAACTCAGCCAAAACCACCCTAAACTCAGCCAAAACCCCCTAAACTGCCCAAAACCCCCCCCCCCCCCCCCCCCCCCCCCCCCCCCCCCCCCCTAAACTCAGCCCAAAAACCCCCTAAACTCAGCCCAAAACCCCCTAAACTCAGCCAAAACCCCCCTAAACTCAGCCCAAAACCCCCTAAACTCAGCCCAAAACCCCCTAAACTCAGCCCAAAACCCCCTAAACTCAGCCAAAACCCCCTAAACTCAGCCAAAACCCCCTAAACTCAGCCAAAACCCCCCTAAACTCAGCCAAAACCCCCCTAAACTCAGCCCAAAACCCCCTAAACTCAGCCCAAAACCCCCTAAACTCAGCCCAAAACCCCCCTAAACTCAGCCAAACCCCCTAAACTCAGCCAAAACCCCCTAAACTCAGCCCAAAACCCCCTAAACTCAGCCCAAAACCCCCCTAAACTCAGCCCAAAACCCCCCTAAACTCAGCCCAAAACCCCCTAAACTCAGCCAAAACCCCCCTAAACTCAGCCCAAAACCCCCCTAAACTCAGCCAAAACCCCCTAAACTCAGCCAAAACCCCCTAAACTCAGCCCAAAACCCCCTAAACTCAGCCAAAACCCCCCTAAACTCAGCCCAAAACCCCCTAAACTCAGCCCAAACCCCCCTAAACTCACCCAAAACCCCCTAAAACTCAGCCCAAAACCCCCTAAACTCAGCCCAAAACCCCCCTAAACTCAGCCAAACCCCCTAAACTCAGCCCAAAACCCCCCTAAACCTCAGCCCAAAACCCCCTAAACTCAGCCCAAAACCCCCTAAACTCAGCCAAAACCCCCTAACCTCAGCCAAAACCCCCTAAACTCAGCCCAAAACCCCCCTAAACTTCAGCCAAAAACCCCCTAAACTCAGCCCAAAACCCCCCTAAACTTAGCCAAAACCCCCTAAACTCAGCCCAAAACCCCCCTAAACTAGCCCAAAAACCCCCCTAAACTCAGCCAAAACCCCCCCTAAACTCAGCCAAAAACCCCCCTAAACTCAGCCAAACCCCCCTAAACTCAGCCAAAAACCCCCCCTAAACTCAGCCCAAAACCCCCCTAAACTCAGCCCAAAAACCCCCTAAACTCAGCCAAAACCCCCCTAAACTCAGCCAAAACCCCCTAAACTCAGCCAAAACCCCCATAAACTCAGCCAAAACCCCCTAAACTCAGCCCAAAACCCCCCTAAACTCAGCCAAAACTCCCTCAACTCAGCCCCAAAAACCCCCTAAACTCAGCCCAAAACCTCTAAACTCAGCCCAAAAACCCCCTAAACTCAGCCAAAACCCCCTGAAACAGCCAAACCCCCCTAAACTCAGCCAAAAAACCCCCCTAAACTCAGCCCCAAAACCCCCTAAACGTCAGCCCAAAACCCCCTAAACTCAGCCCCAAACCCCCTAAACTCAGCCAAACCCCCCTAAACTCAGCCAAAACCCCCCTAAACTCAGCCCAAACACCCTAAACTCAAGCCCAAAACCCCCCTAAACTCAGCCAAAACCCCCCTAAACTCAGCCAAAACCCCCCTAAACTCAGCCCAAAACCCCCTAAACTCAGCCAAAAACCCCCTAAACTCAGCCCAAAACCCCCCTAAACTCAGCCAAAACCCCCCTAAACTCAGCCAAAACCCCCCTAAACTTAGCCCAAAACCCCCTCAACTCAGCCCAAAACCCCCTAAACTCAGCCCAAAACCCCCTAAACTCAGCCCAAAACCCCCTAAACTCAGCCAAAACCCCCCTAAACTTAGCCAAAACCCCCTAAACTCAGCCCAAAACCCCCTAAACTCAGCCCAAAACCCCCTAAACTCAGCCAAAACCCCCTAAACTCAGCCAAAACCCCCCTAAACTCAGCCCAAAACCCCCTAAACTCAGCCCAAAACCCCCTAAACTCAGCCCAAAACCCCCTAAACTCAGCCAAAACCCCCTAAACTCAGCCAAAACCCCCCTAAACTCAGCCAAAACCCCCTAAACTCAGCCCAAAACCCCCTAAACTCAGCCAAAACCCCCCTAAACTTAGCCAAAAGCCCCCTTCATATCCACATCTCCAGTGTCTTCCTCCTCCCACTTCCCCCCCTCCATCTCTCCTCCCTGGCTCCTCCCCAGTCTCTTACCTATATAGCCTCTTGTTACAGCAGCTGTGTTGCCCACTTCAGCATGTTTCTTGCTGTGGTTGTCCCACCTGATGACGGACGCTTGTGTTGCGCCCGAAACGTCGTGATATATTATTCTATTTCTATCATTTTTATTATTTATTTGTATTATTTATTTCTACCTACGTCACTTTACCGAAAAAACCTAAGAGTATGAATCCTTGCAGTCACGAAAGCTTCAAATCTAGAATTCACAAATTTCCCTTGTATATAAACTGTATATATCAATTTGGTTATTTCGATAGTCACGAAGTTAGAAATAAATCACGTTTCGGGCGCAACACAATTATCTGTCATCAGGTAAATCAACCACAGAAAGGTGAAGAGACTCGATCATTCTTAACTTTGGAGCTTTCGTGACTGCAGGAATTATTCTTTGGTTCTTTCGGTAAAGTCACGTATAAAGAAAAAATAATAAATTAAATAATAACATACGCCCTTTTCGATTGCAACACAAGCAATCATCATCAGGTATAATAAAATAGCGACATAAAATCTAACCAGAAAAAATTATAGACAGACATATAAGCAGACAGATATCACCAAGATACACACAGCAGGGCAACACAGGTACAGAGAGGGGGGATCGTCTCTGTGGGGTGGCCTTAAATAGACAGAGGGGGGGCGGAGGCAGCGAGAGGGAGGGGTTAGAGACAAAATTTACATGTCAATGAGTGCAACAAAAAGGAGTGAGCAGGCTTAGGGGGAGAAAGAGACACACTAAAATTAAATAACCTAGCAAAGTATCGAAATGTTATGTAAAACGACACAGAAAGTCGGTCAACACACAATTAACGCATAGCCTGGTCGATTGCGTATTTCAAACATTGCTAAGTTAGAATTTAAGTGTGAAATTTTCAAAGAAAGACAAAACATAAAAACAAGAGGAACGGAGACAAAGCAGAACCTAAGAACGACAAAAAACGAGTGTAGACAGAAAAAAATACACTAAATAAACAGGCAGAGAGAGAGAGAATAAAAACCCAGAGAGAGAGAAAAAAGGTAAACTTGGAACTTCCCCGTAGAAGTGGTTCAATCTTAAATTTGGAGCTTTCGTGACTGCAGGAATTATTCTTTGGTTCTTTCGGTAAAGTCACGTATAAAGAAAAAATAATAAATTAAATAATAATAATAACATACGACGACAGATGTGTGAAAACCCTCCTATCGTCACGAAAGCTTCAAATCGAGATTGTATATATCAATGGGAGCCAAGCGGAGTACCAAAATGTGGTGGGAACACAAAATAAACTTTGCACTGCCATCTCCTGGTCACCTTACCGCCTGGCCGGTAGTATTCAAAACACAATCTCTGCGTGATATACACTAACCCCACATCCAACGCTGCGAGTTACAAATGTGCCACCACACCAATCATAGATATCGTCGCGATGCTGCCGTGTTCTTAAGAGATTAAAAACAATGCAATAACATTTCACGCCTATTTCTGCTCTGCATTATTTGTGGTCTCAAGGACACAGCATTGTCGAGCTTGTGAATCGTTACTGAACCTGACCCAGTCACTTAGCAGCTTATTGGGCCGACTGACACTTAAAACGTGTCGGGTGCCATTTCTGATTGAAGGTTCTCTCAATTACACGGGCAATGATTTTCTATAATCTCTTTTGGGTCTTTGTATACGCCATTTGCTCTACCCACCCAGTTTTCATTCAATGCGACCTTGGGATTGCTGCATTTTCTAGCAATTTGACAGTGTCATGAACACATAGTTACAGGGTGGGGACATTTGTTTTCATACAAGGTCTTAAAACCCCCAAAAACATTTGTTGACAATTTATGGGAAATTTAAATATAATTGGTTAACCTATTAGCTGCCAAAGTTTATAACCGTACATGCAGGTGTAGTGACATAAGAAGGGAGGGGCTGCTGGGGGCTCTGGGTTCCCGGGCGGGTCCAGACGCTTAAGCCTCTGGGCGCCAGGTTCCCAGGGGGTCCAGACGCTTAAGCCTCTGGGCGCCAGGCGTTGGGTTCCCAGGCGCTTAAGCCCTTTGGCGCCGCCAACGGGGGGGGGGGGGGCTGTGTGTGCTCTGTGGGATGTCTGGTGGCGCACACGGCCCCACCCCTCGTTGGACCAGGCATAAAAGGAGAGCTCCCTGGACGATCGGGGGCCCAGTTGTAACTCAAGACCCAAGACCCACGACCAGCCATCTGAAGACCCTGGGATGCTGTGAGAGCCAGTGGTAGGACTCTGGAACTCCCGACTCTACGACCTTGTGAGGGCGAGTTCCAGAGTGTAGCCAGAGTAGAGTATCTAGGCTGTGTACCTAGGCTGTGTACCTAGGCTGTAACAGAGTATCAGGAGTGTTGGAGAGTTGGACTGTTGGAGTACTGTTGGAGTGTTGTATTGTAATAAAGAAGTTACCTCTACAAGTGTCTACGGAACCCATTACACAGGGGTCACATCACGCTGGTTTACACTGCCGTCTACAAAAGGCATGGAAAGATAGCAAGTCAACTTTCTAACCTCTACAAATTGCTTGTCAAATGTGCTGAAAGAATATTAAGGTGCGGGAACACGACAGACACTCATTTTTAATTAGCTCATTACAAAAATAGTTGACGCGGCACATCCAAATTTGTGTTTTTATTAAAACCAGAGCAAGTAGAAACGTCACAAACACATCGCACATTCCGGTACTAATTTACATCTGAAGCCATTCTACGTGCACATTCTAGACATGATAATAGGTTTTTCCTCTTTTTTTCTGGCAACAAAACAGGTGTTAAGATGATAAAGCACCAAACTGAAACCTTTTACAAGGAATCATGTCTGCATTAACCACAATGTTTGTGGTCAGAATAAAAACAAAAAAACACTCTGATAATACATGCATTGTCCTTGAAACTGATTGGTCCACAGAGACAGCTTTCTTTTGAGCCTCGTCTCAAACAGTGTTAGACCAGAGGATGCCAAAAGGCGTACAGCCCAGAGACAATGCAAAATTCTAGATGGTGGGTCAAATCATGAGCTGCGCATGATTAGTTTTCTTATGATTCTTGAGTGGCCTGATGTCGGTGACCCTGTAAGTGAGCAGCAATCTCATCTGGGAAAACGTACAGAAGAAACAAAAGCAGGTGGTCACAATTTCAGAAGCAGCACACAGGGTACACATACAACCCGTTTTGCAATTCTAGGGCTTTAATCTTGCCAATGCATCTCACTGTTAAAAGCTTTTTGCAAATACAAAAAGGCAAAGAACAGCATCATGCAATTGAATTTTTTCATGTGAAATGTATTTTCCATTCACCCATTTGTTACGTTTTTACTCATTTCAATAGGAGCCCGGAAGAGTACAAACCACGCCGTCGGGAGGGGGCGCAGAAACTCTGTGGACAAAAGTCTCAAATCCCAAACGCAGTGCACCTCAATTTAGAGGCGGGGGAAGATTGGCCTCACTGCCCCGCCAAGTGGGTGTGTATTCTTATATGGGAAGGGGACCGAGGGAAAAATAATGTAAGGAAGAGGGTGCAGGGGAAAGAATGGGGTGGAAAAAGGAAAAGGAGCACTTAGGGAAGGAATACCTCGCACACACACACATTGGTGAACTTATCAAGCTATCAGTCCCATAGCGGTAATCGACTCACTCCCGTCCGTCCCCGGGGGAAGTGAGGCTCTGCTTGCACATCTCCACTCCCCGCTGACCTCAGCATTTGCACCTTACATTGGGCTCTGCAGAAATGGAGACCAATCTGGTCTCGAACTCCTGTTCCCTGCCATTCAGTTTGTGGCTGAAATGTTCAGTTTGCGTGAGGGCTTCAATTCACCCTACCCTATCATATGACTCTCCTGTAAGGATATGGAACCCACAATACTCGTGAACATAAATTGCACATGACCTCTGTGTTTTCTTAAAACACACACCTAACTATATTAAAACACTCCAAGACAAAATTCTCATGGCTTTAGAGAGGGTTGAGCCGTTGGTAAACACACTGGTTTCATTGGGGTACCACCAAATAATAGAAACCTAACATTGTACAAAACTAAAAAATGTCGGTACGTACCATTCACCACATGCATTATTTGGTTTATTGAGCACACGGGCATATCCTCATGAAATTCCTAACCTTTAAAAAAGCCCATCGGTAGCTACAATAGTTACCTACATTTTGGTGTGTGGGTAATCATTGTTTGTCTGACTTCTCAGTGACCGATTCAGTGACATCAAAATCAGATCAGGGTTTGACTTCTTAAAACAATTGTCACTGGAACCACCGGTTCGGAAAGCTAACTGATTATAGACAAATTGTTACTTTATCTTGGTGATGAAACAGACACCGCACTCATTAGTTTTTGTGTTTTATAAATAATTCCTTTCCCATGGTATGTAGTACAATATCTACAGCCAAATTAAGGGATAAACACAATGATTTATTATTTACCCATACAATAAGCTCCTCTAAGCCATTGTGTAGAAAAAGTGTTATTGTAGCAATTCAAGTAGTCGCCTTCAAATCTAAGTGTTAAGTATGTGATATATTCACATTCCACTGCGATTCAATTGCTACAATAATTAGCAAAACAGTAAAAAAATATTTCGTTTTTACCAGCTCATTTCTAGTGTCAGTACCATGCTGTCTTGACACATTAACCAAAACGTTATATTTTAATAAAAAACGTGCATACATTACCAATTGACTTTTGCATTCATGATTACATATGTAGTGGGTGGTCACCCATACAAGCACTATCCTGGCTCAACCCTGCTCAGTTTCCGAGATCCGGTGAGAAGTTAGGTGCCTTTTTGGGCAATTTGCTCATAGGTTCCCGAGTAAACAAAGGACATCATTTCAGGCAGACCTTACTTAGCACTCGCGATGCATTCCCGCCAGAGAAGCGACTGCTCACCGGATGCGTTTCCTCTGCACCGTGTGTTCGCGCTCAAAAGCGTTTTTTGGATTTTCGTAATCTTTTTCAGTGAACATTTCCTCAGAGACAAAGCACGCTCTCGCGAATCGTCGTTCTGCGGGGGGGTCGCGCCAAGCGAGGTCTGCCCACGTTATTAATGTAACTCGGCCAATTCCTCTTTCAGCATCACTGCCTCGTGTGCAGCCGGTCCGTACCGGCCAGCGAGGTGCTCAGCCGCGCGGTCCGTAGCGCCTTCTCCAGGCCGTTGTAGCTCGAGTGCAGCAGTGTGACCCCGAGCGAGGCCGGCAGCGACGGGTTGCTGGCGCTCAGCGAGCCCGTCCGCAGGCTCTGCAGCAAGAACGACAGAGTCTCCACCTGCTTCTCTGCACACCCACACAATAGAGTACACATTTTATGTATTATATAGAGAGCAGGGGTGTCCAAACCTTTTGCAAAGAGGGCCACATTTGATAAAGTGAAGATGCCCGGGGGCCAATAGTTCCTTTTGACATTGTTTTTACCACAAAAGTTACGTGGAAATACACACTGTTATAAAACAATTTTCATTGTCACAATTACCTTCATTTTTCAAATGACAATGTAACGAAATATAAGCCACTCAGGCAGACGTGAACAACTCTAAAAACACAAATCTGCCTTTCATTCAGTCAGATAACATTGAACAAACTGTATAGAATACCTTAAATTTCCATGAGTTAAATAGCTTTGCCTCATGAACATTTTAAACAGGAGTTATAAGTAATGCAAAGTGGTCTGTTATCATTAAACTTTAAAACAAGTGAATTTTGCCCTTGTCTTTTACACGATCTTTCAGAAAGCAATAGTTTGTCACATCTACAGGTACATAACATCAACAGTTATAACCAAATCTTATTCAAGTTTAACAAAACAAGTGCCATAAGTCCAAGTGCATTAGTGTGCTTTAGGCTTTTCACTGTTATTAGTGACAGATGTTACCGTTCAAAACACTCAATTTCAGATTGATCAAGGAACAGATAACTTGCTGATACTAATGAGAAGGGTGATACCGAGATCTAGATTTCAGTAAAGAGACCAGGTCTGGCTTGAGGGCAGTGGTTGAGATGCGTAAAATGCCACGCAAGTGGGAGTCACTCATCCTTGACCTCAATCGGTTCTTGTTTAAGTTCATGACTGAGAATGTTTGCTCACACAAATGTGGAGCCGAATAAGCTCAGCATTTTCTTAGCGAATGACCGCATTTCTTTTTTGCAGTCGCCATGGCAGAAATGACTCGAGAAGGGTTTGCGGCACGGATGCAGATCCAGATAGAATTAGAATGGTGCTGCCACCGTGTGGTGAAAAGAGGAATTACATCTTTAAAGTTTTATGATTTATAAGACCGAAGCTGCGGGCTGTATGAAATCTGACCGCGGGCCGTGAATGGCCCGCGGGCCGGACTTTGGACATGCCTGATGTAGAGCAATTCCCCAAGATTGGGATTTCATCTTGATTTTGGGTGAAAATGGTTCAATATCCAACGTACGGAAAATTCTGGTTACGGATCGTTCTCGGGAACCTAACCCTTCCTTAACCCGGGGACTGCCTGTATTTCGTTTGATTCTTCTGCCCATGCCGAGGACCGGTTTGTTGCATCTCATCCACGCTGTTCAACCACCGTACTGCAGGTCACAAGACTTCTACGCTCCGTTTCTTCCCTCACACTGCTTGACGTTGGAATTCCATCCCAGTCTCTTTTTCCCCAAGCTCTTAACTTAGCTTAATTGAAAAACACGTGTTAACTATTATCTTTTACTACTTTAATCGTGCTGTTTTTTGCTCATTGCTTGTAGTCATGGGCCTTTGCTCATAAACCTTGTGGAAAAAAATACCTCCTAATTTGTTGAAAGAATAGGCTCTTTACCATTTTCGGCAACAATAAAAGGTGTTAAGATGTTTAAACACAAAATAGACACCTTTTGCATAAAGGGTCCCATAGATATTGTTGTGAGATGTTTATAAATAATTCGACTAAAAAACTGAACATAGTCAGGAGATGAGCAATATACAACAAGATCTGCACACACAATCAACACATCACTTTTCCACCATACAAGTTTTTTTTTTTAATCCTTTATATTAAGTTCGCTTGCGTGCTTGCTTGCTTACGACCGTGCAAATCTTTCGGTCGTTTTTTAACCCCCTTCCCGTGATCCAATCGAGCTGACATTTTCCACACAGACTCGTTGTGCCAGACAATTAATGTTCGTGAAAAAAAATTCCCAAAATTTTACACTTTGTAGGCAAAAAAAATTATTTTACATATATTCAAATAGAACTCATTCATGGCTTTGGCTGAACGTCAGAGTGTAAGAGCCCAGAGCGTAACCCCTCCACAGGCCGTGGCGGAGTAGCGCAGTTGGTAGCGCCCTCGCTTCCCATGCCAAAGGTCGCGGGATCGATCCCCGCGTCCTCCACTGCCGAATATATTTTTAAATCCTTTATATTAAGTTCGCTTGCTTGCTTAGGACCGTGCAAATCTTTCGCTCGTTTTTTAACCCACTTCCCGTGATCCAATCGAGCTGACATTTTCCACACAGACTCGTTGTGTGTGACAATTAAGTTCGTGAAAAAAATTCCAAAATTTTACAGTTTAGGGAAAAAATATATATTTAATTACCAATTGCTTAATGGTGGCAGACAATCATCTGGCCCATAGGTGGCAGCCATCTCAAGCCAGAGGACGAGAGGACTCTAGCCGCCACGCATATAAAGGATTTATAGTGAAAAACTTTGGTTTTTACGGGTTTACTTGTTAGAGGGTGCGATGTGCTCTGGAGAGAAGGCAAAACTTTCAAGTCAATTGGTTTGATTCAGCTGGTCGCTAATGTACCCACCGAAGGATGGCCAATTTACAATACGTTTTAAAACGTCATTTTCACTCGTAACGATGTACTTAAAGATGTTTGTCGTTCCACTTTCAACTAAAGTGATTGTGTACGAAGCAGCACAAAGCTGCGGTTGTGATAGCACCGCAGCTTTGTGTGTTGCATGTACGTTGAACTTCTTTCGCACTGTATATAGCCAACCGTGCTCATCGTACGAGAAGCCCATTCCAGGACAAGCCATGTAAGCCGTAAACAAGCTATTCATACAGTTGTCATCATGTTTCTGCTAAAATAGGTTCTTGGCAGTGTTTACCTACCAATGTTAACAAGTCAGACAATTTAGAAAAGTTAATCTGCCGATTGACTTAAAATGACAACATTCAGGAGTTCAAGTGTTTTGGTCTGATCTTCTAATTTAGTAAACTCAAATAATTTGCATACAGGCTTTAATTACTATAAGCTCTAAGATAAACCAACCATTGCACCACAGGCTCCATGACTAATTTGATTGCAGTGAGGCTGCATTTGTCATTCACCCATTTCTGCAGGAAAATCATCTTGCATGGCGCAATACAATTGAATATGGCTACACATTTCATAAGAGTAAGCTGCATAAATTGTTGTGTTAATGGCATCAAGACAAGTACATTTTAAATGCAATCCTGATAACCCCCAAAGGCAGTGCAAACCACATGTCATGTAGGGAAACCAGCCATAAGAGAGATCACAACAATATTAAACTTGCGGTTTGTATAAATACGATTTGACATTCAGCTCTATGCTGCTTAGAACTGCTGTGGTACACATAAATACATATTGGCACTGATTGCATTTTATTATACGGATTGTCAATAGTTATGAGTGAATGCATTCGTATGGGGTGCGCATTTATACGTGGTTATAGGTTGCAGGAATTATAATGGCTACAGCCCTCATTTTTAATGACTAAAAATACACAAGCCTGTCAGTCCAGATGTTTTTCATGCGGTAAGAAATTATTCGGGAAGTCAACACAGCAGAAGCAAAATTCTGCTAAGATGAGCGTTATAAAAGGAGTGAAAATTATTGATGTTGAAATATCGCCAAGACAGTTGTGATGCATGCAGACCCTGTATGTACTGTCAGTCGACATTCCAGATGCCCTCCAGGAAATTAAATGTTTCTGCGCACTTAGTCACTTGATCCACCTGAAGTTCATCCTTGTCCAGGTCCTTGCTGCTTTCCTCCATTGGTACATCGCTGTGGCAGTAACAGAAAACAAAGCCGAAAGCGTTGGCATGTGTTCGAGTTAATTTGTGACCAAAGCATGCACATGTAGAGACCTATATTCTTTGGTTCTTTCGGTAAAGTCACGTAGATAGAATTTTTTAAATAAAAAATACACTAATTAAGACTGTAGCCTGGTTCTAAATCGGAGTGAGTGTACTGGCAGTCTATAATGTAGACTGTAGCCTGGTTAAGTTTTGAGAGTGTACTGGTAGTCTATAATGTAGACAAGCAACGGTTATCAAGCTGGGCGAGTGTACTGGCAGTCTATAATGTAGACTGTAGCCTGGTTAAGTGTTGTGAGTGTACTGGCAGTCTATAATGTAGACTGCAGCCTGGTTCTTAACCTTGGTGAGCGTTCTGGCAGTCAATAATGTAGACTGTAGCCTGGTTCTTAACCTCAGTGAGCGTTCTGGCAGTCAATAATGTAGACTGTAGCCTGGATAAGCTTGGTGAGTGTATTTTTTTATTATTATCATTTTTTCTTTTATTATTATTCACTTTATTTTTTATGTTATCATTTTTATTTTTCTATCTAAGTGACTTTACCGAAAGAACCCAAGAATATGAATTCCTGCAGTGACGAAAGATTTTAGTCAATTTATGTAGAGACCTCTTTCTCAGTCCATTGCTGGATCAGCCTTTCCATGCCATCCGGGGCGTGGGTGTTAGTCGACCGTGCTTCTCCATGCTGGTCAGTGCAAGTTGTTGAAGGTGGGGGGAGCATAGAAATACACTACAACAATGTACTTTGCTGCAGTGCCCTCTACTACCTTCAACGTTGCCTTTCAATAGCCTATAACACTTGTTTTATGCGTGGTGTTCACCCATCCAAGCCTTAGCTTCGGAGATCTGGTGAGATCGGGTGCATTCCAGGTTATATAGCTGTCAAAACATATATTTATAATAAAAAAAACTGCTCACAAGCATGTATGTTGAACTTCTTTCACACCGTACATAGCCAACCGTTGCTAATGAGAGGTGTGGGGAAAGGACAACAAAATAAATGCAAAAAACTGTTCCAAAGAAATTAGTTTTCAATCTATATTAAAAACTGAAAAGTTAAAGGGGGCATCCTAATATCAGAAGAGCATCCCAGACGGTTGCAGAAGCACATCTGAAAGCGCACAATGCAGTCACGTCTTTGTTCAGTGGTTAGCCAAAAGCCGCCGCTGCGAGGATGACCGGAGTTTGCGTGATGGTTTATGCTCCTTGACGAGATCAGCAAGGTATTGTGGTTCATTTGTGGCAAGCGCTTTGTGTGTAACGAGGGCGACCTGTCGTCACGGCACACGCACACCCACCTGGGCTGAGTCTCCGCTTGGGCCGCTGCTATCTGCCCAACGCTCTTCAGCCGCTCCTTTCGCCGCTTCTTCTTCAGCTTCCTCTTCCGCAGCTCGGCGGGCGACGGAGGCACCTGCACGCCCGACGCCTTCAGCAGCTTTATGCGCAATTTCTTCTTGATCTTGCGCTTCTTGTTCTTCGTGAGCGTCGGACCGCTGGTTGCCGCCGCCCCTTGCTTCTGCGCTCCTGCCGCAGCTGCCGCGACTGCCACCGCTACCACCGGCACGCCCGCCGCCGCCTCTACCCGCGTTCCAACCGCTGCTTTCGGCGCCCCCGCCGAGGTTGCCAGGGTCGGGGCTACTATGGCTGTGCTCGAGGGCTTGCCGATTGCTGGTGCCGATGGGGCGCCGTCGGCTGGGGCAGCATTCGGCTTTTTTTTCTTTTTCTTCTTTTTCCGCCGCTTCGCTCCGCTTTGGGTACCCCCAGTAGCAGCAGGTGCAGCAGCATCTGCAATAGCAAAGTTTAGTGCAAAGCCCAAGGAAATGTGTTTCCAGTTTTCTTAACTCCACTTGGCCAAGATCCGGTTTTAAATCCACCTGGTGTGGAGCGGTGACAAGTGATTCGTGCACTGCACTATGCACCCAATGACCTGAGTTTGATTCCAGGCTAAGGAGCAGTGGCAAGAGATATCTGAACTGGTCCTGCCCTGCCTCCCTAAACTTCACCAACCCACACTGATCAACATGGTACAGTATAGTCAAACAACCTAAAAAAAACAAGAGCAGACCTACATCAGCTCAGTGGATTGAAAATGGCTGTATTTCTCTCACCACATTACTTTAAAGTTAAAAGTTCAACCTATCAAATTTAAAACTGTTGAAGAAAGCATGCATCTGTGTGCAAAATGATCTACTCGTATTGTTTAAGATAGGTTTCTGGGCTATCTGTGAATCAATTTCAATAATTATTCAAGTTAGAAATATCTGGTTGGGTGGCACAGAGAGCACATTATACGAACAGAAAATTGCGTGTTAACTGAGCCCATTATCTCTCCAGGGTGGCTATTATAAGTACCACTGTGGGAAATACTGGTTATCCTGTGGACACACTGGTCCCTCCACTCTAGAAATAATACATTTCTACCACTAGCTCAGGGCTGCCAACAATGCAAAACCTCATTTCAGTATGGAGATGTTGTTTTTTGTTACAATGATTATCCATGTGTGAACACATTTCCGGGATCCCTATTTGACGCTAAAGAAACACCGAACATAGGAGCCTGGTTCAGCCATGCATGTCATTACGGATATTACCAGCTCATATTGCAACTTTCTATTGCATTCATGCGTTGATAAAAAAACACTTTCCTGCCAACTTTCAACACGAATAATAAGCTGCTATTCAGTCATTTTCTACGACAATACAAGAATATGGTGCCTTTCCATTATAATTACATACATAACAGTTGAGCAGGCAGGCAGTGACAATCGATGAACCACAAAACGTGATTGGCGAATCCTAACCCCTGTCATATGCTAAATTTCGCCACGCCGCACTAATGTGTGCCTGGCCATGCCTGTCCCTCAAGTGACCTCGGAAAAAAACCATGGCTGCTCAAGCTTCCCTTCCCAGCCCACAATGTGCACCTGGTACAGCGCTGACGTCGTTCATATTCTGATCGCCGTTGTTGTCTTCAGGTTGGTCTGAGAAGAATGGGATGTAGTCTGAAGGGAGCAGATCGGCACTGTGCATGTTTTCTCCCACTGGGGCCAACTGTGCAGTGCCTTCCAATTGATTATCTGCCCAGAGGGGAACACAAATCAGAACACGTTGAGTGGGGCGCTGAGAATATCTCTGCCAACACACTCGTACAGAAATTACCTACAATGTTACAAAGGGCATATTTAATTAATTCCGTGCAATGCCAAAAGCAGTGGCAGTTGGATTGTTTTTTTTAAAGTTCTCCGTTTATCATGTTGAGGACGCAGAGAAAGCTCCATTATATTGAATTATGGTCACCGCTTTTATCATTCGTCTCAAATTCCTTTTTACTTTACCTTCTCGCTGTTGCCTGCAATAAGCATTTGTAATCTACAATCAGAACCTCAAGAAATTGTCTTCAAATATTTACTCACCTACGACTGGATTCACCTCTAAAAACCTTATACGGAATCATAAATATATCATCCCCCTACTTCTCAGACTCGTCTGCAAACACTACTTTTGACTTGCTTCACTGTTATGCAGGGAAGTAAATTTTCTCAGCTGTTTTCACCATGCACTATCTTCTTATCCAGATTAGACAAGCATTGCATTGTTTTATAAACCTTTATTTTTATTCGATCGCAACCTATTATCTTCTTCTCTAGTTTATACCAAGTACTGCTGATTATGTATGGCACTCAACTAAACTGTTTTACTCAGATTATGTACGACAATTAAGGTTAACATGTATTTTTTTTAATTCTCCGCACATTTTTGGAGCTTTGTTAAATCCCATTGATTTGTAAAATCACACTGCAAAATTGAACTAATTTCCAGGCTCTTTGACTTTACATTAGTAATTTATAATTGAACAGCGACAACAAAATAAATTTCAAATGCAAGTCAAGGGTGTGTGGGTATCAACAATGGTGCTGGGCTTCGACCGAGCGTTACTCATGTGCCGCCTGTGGTAAACTGTCGGCACCCTTCACCATGCCGGCTCCGTCTGCTCACACAAGCAATTCAGTTTTTTTCTGCACAAAAGTTGTGCAATAAAACAAACTGGTCCTAACTCCACGTAAACCTGGCTGCTTCATAACAATCACCGTTAAAAACGCGCTGCTGACACGGCCAAATGTGACTAGAACCTGCAGACCACAGTTAATGAGCGTCGTAAACATGGCTGAAGGCCGAACCACATTTTTATTCCAGTAAGATTGTGAAATGGAATTGGGTTAGGACATGAGTCAATGTACTCAGTTGGTGGTTTAGACTGTTTTCTGGCCATCCATTTGGAACAAAGCAAGTACAATTTTTGTGATGTAATGGAAAGACCAGCATGGATCAGACAACAGCATTTGAGGACAATTGTCTCATCAGTTAATAAAATGGCATATGAAGCAGTTTGTCACTTGCGCACAATAGCTTCCACGCCGTCGCCCACCCTTTTTTGGCCCCTCTCTCCCGATACTTTCCATTCATTGGCTACCACATTCTGATGAGCCCCCCCCCCCTCTCCTCCCCCCTCAACTCGCTTTTAAGGGATTACATCTTGAATCATTGCCTCACTTGATGCAGCTAATCTGGCTGTGACTGTCCCACCTGATGACGGAGACTTGTGTTGCCTCCGAAACGTCGTGATCTTTATTTTATTTTATTATTTTATTAATTTTGATGTTTTACCTACGTGACTTTACCGAAAACACCTAAGAATATGATTCCTTGCAGTCACGAAAGCTTCAAGTCTAGAATGAATGCATAATTAAGTTCGCTCAAGGGGAAAGTCTAGACAACGGCTAAATCTTGCTCGACTTATTATAGATCGTTAAAAATGGCACAAGCATGGATTACATACACTATGGGGGAGAGGTGACGCCCCATGTTTAATTTGTAAAACGTTTAAATGGTATAACTTTTCACTTAACTTTTCGTGACTGCAGGAATTCACGTATCTACGCGACTTTACCGAAAGAACCAAGAATATGTATAACTTTTCACAAGGAACTTCTATTTTAATGTACTTTCTAAAATGTCAGATGTGAAAAAAGGGTCATCTTTGGAAATGTTGATTATGTAAACACCCTTTATGTCACTTGTTCACATTCAACACAAGTCACATAAATGCAAACATTTAAATTACATTCTATTATATACATTTTATAATGAAACACTCGCAATCTGAAAACAGCAAAAGGGATCAGGTCACCGCAATGCAATAGAATCGCATGGAGACTTAAATAGACCTCAATTAAAGTGAACGGTATTTACATTTATAATAGATCTCGATTAAAGTGATTGACAGTAACGCACCTCAAGGAAAGTGAATGGCTCTTCACACATTTTTATCATTGTAAAAATGATGGTCGTTTTGATATTTCTGAAACTAAGGCTGTGTTAAGAGAGGATTAAAATGAATGGAATTTATGTAGGTCCCACCAATGTTTGTAATCTTAAATACAAAATATATTGCCTTCTTATGGCGCTCTAGTGACTAAATAAAAAGCCATAATGATCATCGTTAAAAAAAGAAATGGGCGAAAGGAAATGGATATGGTTGGGGTTAAGGGTGGGGTATGGGTTACAGAACAAGCGTTCAAACACTACATCGCCACACGTTTCTTCCTCTTGTGCCCAAAGCCGTTGCCCCTCCTATCGCTCTCATGAAACTGGGTGCCTTTATCTCCCCCATAGCTTCAAGGCCTCAGGTTCGACTCCTGCACCGCCCGTCTCCAATCGATGGGTGAGAGTCTCTATTATCGGCTCCACCGCTGAGTAGCTCTGAAATGAGGGCGTCTTTTTCGACGAAGATTTCAGCCCAAATCTTAGTTATAATTCACAGGCCATTGTGAATCCACTGCTGAATGAAGGCCTTCCCCACGCATCACGGTTATGCGATTCATTTGACCATACTTCACGCTGGTAAGTGCGGGTTGAAGCGATGGCGACGCAGGGCTGGCCGTCAGTATCACTCGCCATTAAATGCGAGCCGTGACCAGGAATGGAGCTCAGGTTACCGGTGTCATCGTCCCGTGCGCGCCACCGCTCCACTTCCCACTCAATATTCGTCGGCGAGCATGATCTCGTGGCGATACGGCTCTGCACGTCCATTCTCGGAGAATTGCACTCGCGTGCTTGAAGCGTTATTCATGTTTCTCCAAACATTGCAATCGAGGTCTATTTTACACCACGGTAATGACGACTCGACGTCAGTGCAATATTTTTTATAATAGTTCCAGTTCATTTATTAGGTATAGCCCTGTGAGCCATTCGGCTCTTGAATCGGTTGCAACCGCAACAAACAAAAAACATGAACAAAAAACATCTTAAAGTGAATATGTGACTAAGTGCAAACAGAAAATCCAAGAAAAGACAGCAAAATATTGACGCAGTGACGCCCGTGCAGAGCTATCACGGTGAGCCTGCCCCCCGATTTTAAAAGTATTTAACTTCAAAGTTAGCATTCGTACAGCCCGCGCGACGCAGTGTATAGGCACATCATTACACTGCAAGAGACTTCGTTTAAGGGGTTGCGTTTTCATTCACAACATTGACGCAACGTCCGAATTGATTCATAAACTGCGACTCCGAACGAGGGCCTCAGCCTCGGCCTCGCCTGGACGTCGATACAGGGAACCCCCATCGGGCCACGCGGCGCTCGCTAGGCAACACCGAGGCTGCACTCGTGCTTTAAGGCCGCAACGCGCACCGTACGCGGCCGGGCCACTCGGGGCGTTAAATAAACCCAAAAATAAATGAAGATAAGGAGGAGAGAATTGTTTACATCGGTGGGTGAAGAGGAGTGAGAGGGGAAAGAAGAGGCAGAAGTGGTGGGTGAAGCGGGTGGAGAGAGACACGCGCAGCAACTTACCCTCCGTCTCCATGGCGCATTGGTTCTCATACGGCAAGCGACGAGGCGGCGCGACAACGCGATTCGTATTTAAAGTGGAGGCGTTTTGTTATTTAAATTCCGCGCATTTGGCAAGTGGCTGCGTAAAGCGACAAACCCAACGAGTCGCCATAGCGGTCAACACACGTGGTTTTTTTGCCCCGTGTTCTTGTGCAGGGAAATTAAATGTTTAATGTCCATACGGCGTGCAGTCGTTTTTAATACGGGCAAAAAAATGTGTTGTCTATTTGTGTTTCTCCCTTGCGATGGGACTTTGTAGGATGAACGTTGAGATTTAGAAGGGACACGGGGTGACTAATAAGGTCTGAATTGATCTGTAATAAGGTAGGCACTGATAAGGGGTTGACATGTGAGAGTGATTTACTGCTCGAGTGAGCATTGAGGCGGTGCTCATCCGTTTACAGCCCTGAGCTAGTGGCATGATTTTTTTATTTCTTAGTCTGGGGGGGGGGGGGGGGAGTCTTTCATAAATACATTCATTGTTGACTTGCCCACAAAGTGATACGGTGCTGAACTTGTTATTTTTTGACCACAGTGGGATGATGGGCTGAGTCAATCTTCCGATTAGCGATCCGCTTACTCTGCCGCGGAGCGAGCTGGCGAGACCGATTAAAAAAGAGAATATCGCCACATATGTCAATAGCTGCCCTAAGTGGAAAACGGTAACGTATGAAACATTTTACTTTTCGGGCAATGGTCCTTCAAAGTTGATCTCTTTGCAATTTAAGAACACGAGCCATTGTTCGATTTAGACGAGACGACGGAACCATGTATGGCTTAAGTGTTGTCGAAGGCGCCCAGCCAGTGAGCAAAGCTTGCGAGGATTTAAAGCGGGTTCGTAAGCGGAGCGAGTTGATGTTTCAGACCAGTCGCCATAATCGCAATATAAAAATTGTCAAAATATATGAAAAGGTAAATAAAGATTATCAAATACCCCGCCGTATCTCTTAAAAAAATACTAATTTAACACGATAAAAACAGCATCCATAAAAAATACCTAGTGCAAACAATGCACAAAAAGTGGTCGCTTATAGGCAAGTAATATTTATACTACGTCGAATTCTTTGTACATTTTGTAGTGTACTAATTCACAGACACTAGTAGGGGTATTTTTCGATTTAAAGCTTTCGTGACCGCAGGGATTCATCTTGGTTCTTTCGGTAAAGTCACGTATTTTATTACTTCCCTTCTACGTGACTTTACCGAAAGAACCAAGAAGACTAGTAGGGGTACTCTCTTTTATTCTGGCCTTCATAGCCTCAGGGGATAGCTACATACTGGGTCGGGACAGCCAACATGCTGCCAGACCCACAGCTTGAAGAGGGCCAAGATCACGACGACGACGACGACAGCACGACGAGTTCCACTCCAGATCGCAACAGCCCCGACTGATTCGGAGCTCGCCTTTTATTCTCCCCAGCGTGGCCAGACTCTGCCCTCGGCCCCGCCCCCTTCTGGATCCCCCAGAAGGCTCCGTGCCTTGCCCACAGGTCCAACTGGCAGAATGGACTTGTGCCCATAATTACATTGTCTACCAATCTCCCAGCGGCACGCGCTACAGGGACTCATTCAATGTCAATACACATTGGCAGCTAGGCAGGAATTCACTTGAAAGTAGTGATTTAAGGGGACTGATCGACGGCAATGACTGCAGACCAGGTTTTGTGGCAATATTGTTTCAGAGACTAGGGGCAGCCATCGAAAACGCTCGGTGGATTATCACATAGCAGGATCGTAAGCGGTGGTTGGTAGTTTCAGGAGGCCTTCGTCCAGGAGTCAATTGACCATGGCTGATGTTTTTATTGACGAATACCTATTTAGGAGGGCATGCGAGAAGGTGCAGCACCGCCAAGTGTAGATAAGAGGCAATTGTGGGGAACTCGGGTAAACTATGTGACATCATCGTCCGTGGTTGGTCTCTGACACTCGGTGGGACACTGCTCGCCGTGCGAGTTTACAAAAGTCTCATGACGTTGCATCTTATCCAAAACTCTACAAACGGGACGGTTGTACAACTGCGACCTCAATTCGTCACGAATAATTATCGAAATCGTCAGGAGATGTGTCGCGAATTAGTGCATGCCTATGATATGCGGGCCAAAATTTATATCTGTACCACCCAAGAGGTGGCTAACTAGTTCAATTGACTGTCCACGTGGTATTGGCCAAACATGCAAATTCGGAACCCTACTGAATAAGAGGCTTGATACTTCGAGCAATAATTATCATGACTGGGAATCCATATTTAATTTAACATAAATGCAAATAGTATGAATTGAATGAGTAGGAAAATTATTACTTTTATCATATAAAGTGGAATAATTTTTAGTAGTAGAATTTCCATATCGCTTTTTTTCCTCATTGCAGTGTCATTAAAGTAAAACAAATTATAAAAGAATTGGATACAGAATTATACCTCGTTCAAAGACATTCTGTTCCATTCACACGAGGGATGTTTTTTTCGAGGTGCTTAAATTTTTACCACAAAATAAATGCATTTAGGACACACTGAACGCTAAACACGTTTTATTTATTCCTAGAAGTGGAGTAATTTGTCTTTGAATTGGAACTCATAAACAGGTCGAGTGTAGGTGAGGGCTCTTAGTCTGGTTATTGTGTTTTTGTTATTCTATTTCTGGGCTTTTAAGCTTCAATGCATGTTCTGCTTTAATTTTGGATCCTCTGTGTTGGGAAGGTTGTTGCATACAACATCCCATTAGGGACACATTGTATTTTCAATTAGAATGAGTATTCTATGGGTCTTTCAGTAAAGCCACGTAGATAGGTGAGAGCATATGTATTCCTGCAGTCACGAAAGCTTTAAGTTAAGATTTAGAATGAGTATATTTTACTCAAATTTCGCAAATATACATTTATTCTTCTCATTTACATCTTCAATTCATTATTTTAACCAAACATTAATATTCAAATGTCTTTTTAGTAAGATACACTTTTTAAAGGAGGTATACTTTTTTCATCCATTCTATCACCATTACTCTAATAACCACAATCCACTTTTGGGTGCAGGCCTATCCACACCTTTTAGTTATGGGAATTGTTACGAATGAAAATCAATTGGACAGTTGTTTTTTCTCGTAATGAAGCACTATTTTGGGCATATCAGAAAGATATGTATGGCCTCTATGCATGGGCTTGAAGGTTGGCATGGGATAGGTGTGGTGGCGTGCAGAGAAGGCACATAGATTAACACAAGAGTTTGAATCGATCTCACTGCAGAAGCAATGCTAATTGAGCTCTACCTACAGTGGTGATGAATCATCATCAATTAGACACGTGCGTTGGCTCGAGCTTAGAGCCTAAAGTACACTTACAAAGTCGTACACATACAAAGGATAAACCAAAACAGATAGAGCCGCAAATTCATACGCAAATGCAGATCAAGAAACGGCCGTGGGGGGCACGGTTCTGAAATGGCAAGCTTTTTGAATAAGGCTCTACATTAGAAAAAAAAAACTATCAATGCACTGTCTCCGGTAAATATCAATAAAGTACGAACTTTGGGGTCTCAGTGCGAGGAGGGGAGGGGGGCGATCACCCCCATACCCTTGGATTCGCCACTGCACCTACATACGAGAAAAGTACCACAAGTTATGAAGTATGGAAGCAGTGCACGAGTGTAATACAACACTCCAGATAGGGTGGGGGGTAGTGGATCATACAGGGATCATAATTGTCATGATAAACTCACCTGCTGGACAACCGCAACACCTTTCGGATGGAGTGCGGCAAATAGGTTGTTGGTCTCAAGTACGTGTGCAGATCTTTAGTTTTCTTATTACATGTGTAGTGACTAACTCAGACGATGAGACTTGGAGGCACTTCTTTATTAACGAGCACCATCGGGATTAACACACTTAATGTTTAGTCCGTCTATTATCGGCGACGCTACTCAGCCAGGACAGTTGGTAGGCTATCTGACTAGCGGTGCCCCGAGATGGTAGAGACGGAGACGACGACGACAAGAATGGTGAAGACGACGAGAAGAATGGAGACGATGGACTTCAACAGCACGACGGAGATTCCACTCCAACAACAGCCCCGAGGTCCCCCACAGGGGCCCCTCTTATACTGTCAGCGTGGCATCACTCCGCACCGGCCACGCCCCCTTTCTGGAACCTACTAGCGGGTTCCTGGTGGGCCCATTCTGTGACCTTTCCCCACGATCCCCCTCTCGTGCATAGCCTGGCCTGCCGACGTCAGGACTGCCGTACGCCGCAGATCCCCTTTTCTTCCAGCAGCCAGCGCTATGCCACTACACATGTGTGTGATTTCCATACTTCTCTGGGCACTCTCCTTCTGCATGCAAAAAATACTTTTGATAATGGAATTGGGCAAACATTTAATGCCTTAAAATCTTGAGACTATCATGAATGAAACAATAAAGTGGAACGTCTCATTATTGCGATGAATTATACAAATTTTCAGTATTTATCTTTTTAAGAAAATGCAAAAAAATACTCTTATCTCTAATTTCACAGATAATTGGTTAATTTTGCATTCCCTTTTATCACATTAAATGTAACTGAAAACAGGAAGGTCTCATTATTGTTTGATCACGGCCATAATGCAGATGACGTAAAAAAATACGGGAATACACATGCAACACGCATGGTTAAATCACGTACATGGGACTGAACCACTGCAAATGTATATTCGCGAGAGCTGCCTGGTTCGGGGCCAGTGGGAATTGGAAGCCACATTCTACGTGTGCCCTTTGCAACCAATCCCCCTGGCCGTGTCGCCCCATTGGTTTTGCGCTGACATTTTATCTCAAGGTGCAACGTGTTTTAGTACATTTTAATGAGCATCTGGTGCGAAATTATTTGAGGGTGTGAATTTGAAATACAGTACTTATTACTTTCTCCCCAAAGCATTCGTGAAGACTTTGTCGAGCACATTTTTTCACGTAAAACTTGTGCACCTCGCTAATGAATCTCGCAGTGGCAATTAATGTGAGGGAATTGCATAGTTTGCATTAGCTTGCA